GATTGAATCCTTTACCTTTTATCTCTGCACTAATTACAGGGCAAAACGCTGCAGAATGGATGTTAGGGTGTTGCTTTCGGCAGGTTTCACCAAAGGAGCGATCAAAGCTTGTGATCATAATATCCCACAACACCAATTAAAGCAGCATCACCTAAGATTACAGAAATGTTAACATCCTAATTATGGAAATCAATATGACCCTACAAAAGAAAAGCAAAGAAAAGTATGAAGCGGACAGTGATGTATCATTCCATGAGATCGAAACCAACTGAGGTAGTTCAATCAGTAAATGGCTTCTAACACGAAGAAACTATACCGCCCAACAAAGGAAGGAAAACCAAGCATGTTCATACCCAAAAATATCTAAAATAGTTTCATTAGAGATTCAAAATAGGCTTCTCCGTAAAAGATTTCACATCTTCTAAAAACTCTCCAAAAACTTAATTTAAAGCACATTAAACCCAATTTTTATAATTATGTATACTTAAATTTAGATTGGAGGCATTGTCCGTGATCCGTATATGAGGTATGCATTTCGTATGCTATCAATGAATCACACCATGTTACCTTGTCAACCTTTTTTTTAAAAAAAAAAAATATTTATTTATGAAAATTTATATTTATAAATCAATTATCTGTGAGTTAGGTATAAACATACAAAAAGTACAAAATCGTCAGACCATCACAACTCAATTCAGGACAACTTAAGCATTCTCGTTTACTACAATTATATTCACGAGCAACGTAAGTAAAATCGAAAACAACCTTAATCTCAATTGAACTGCTATTAATTTTCATTTTTATTTTGCCCCAACTTACCGTGATTATTTGAATTACCATAGCAGCGACGAACCAAGCTGAGGCATTCTAACCAATGCAAGATCTCAGCATTGGGGTCTCTTTCAATCACAACATCAGAAACGGATATCTGCAACTCCCCTCTGTAGCCGGTGACCCTGCCGTGCACTACGCCGACTTTCCCAATATGGACATGGGAGGCGAAACGTTTGACCACGTGGGAAATGATCAGCCGAAATGTTGCCTGTTGGCTTTTGCAGGAAGTAAGGAGCTCCAGATGGGGATGCGGTTGCCGTGACTGTAGAAGGTGGAGGAAGGAGTTAAAGAAAGGAGGTGGAAACCTAGGAGCTTTACATGCGTGTTCTTGAGCAATTGTTCATCCATTGGTGATCGGTCCGAGAGGAAGGCTATAGCCAGTTACTTTTGCTTGCTGAACAATTTAGCGGGAAAGGATTGTTTTTTAAAGTGATTTAAAGTTAAACCATTTTTTTTTTGGAAGATTTAAATTTAAACTTTAGCAACATGAATTCTGTTATTATACTCAAATTCATGGATTTGTTAAATTTTTAATCAATAATGAATTTTATAATAACGTTGTTTTATATGATGATTTTTGTTTTCTATATAATGTTTGCATCCCAATTTGCAAAATAATTAAATTTAAATCAACTATCAATTTTTTTAATTCATATTCTTAAAAAAAATAGCATGAAATTTGACTTAGATAATAATTTACTCAATGTACTATGTACATTTTATACAGCTAACACATATATTAAATGTATCGGATTAAATTTTATAATTTTATAACATTTTTAATTAGTTTCATTATCTAATATACTATGTACTGATTTTCTGATTTGCAACTAATAACACTAAAATGAAACTCACTTTGTAAAACCCTTTCACCAGAAGATTTTCTTTGATAAAAATGGAAAACAAAACCTTAAGCTAAATAGATGAAGCAAGTGATGACAACACATGATCGGCGAGTTGGTTAAATAATTACAAAAGTGTCCCTTTTACATATGATGTAACAGCTTCCATCCCTAATTGTGACCGCCGGTATGGCTCCCCATTTAGTCCAATGGAATTAGCAGCGACGACGCTGGCCAAGGAAACATGACAACAATTATGTGGGGATATCAAAGTTTTCACATGGAAGCAGTCCTCCTTAACGCATTAAATAGTGTTGGGAAAGGACGTGTTTAGGAACGAAGATGACTGAAAGTGAAATACATTAATGCTTGGAGAGCTAAGTACTTTGCACTTTCACCATACTAATTACAGTCTCCAACATTCTCATCTCCCCTTCACATGCTGTCACGTGGGCCTGGTGTACAACACAATTTGCTATTTTACAAACAAAGCACCAACTATCTTATAGGATTGCATAAATATGGAAACTACTACTACCTTCGCCGCTCTAATTTCACTTCTAAGTTTTGAATCAGGGCGAGCATCTAATTGCAATCCAAGTCTGTTTTTTACAAGTCGATATCAATATGGAGTCCCAACACACCAAATCCCGCTTTTGCTTAGGCCCTAATAAGAGCTAAGCATTTCAAGCCCCAGACCTTCACTGAAGGAAAGGATATGGTCCAAGTCTACCAAAATCTGCCCACAAAAAGTTTGTTTCAATTTCAAAGTGAAAAGAACACATAAAAATGGAGAAGAATACGCCAGAGCCCCCATGCCTTGCACAGAGATTATAGCTGCCATTTTGGGAGGAGCAACTCATCATATTCCGCAAAGGACATTCTGTATATGATTACTTCCAAAAAAAAAAAGCAAATACTACTCAGGTTGAAACTGAACCACAAGTACCAATCCACCATTTTACAGTTTCAGCCTTAAATCTTCGCCAAGTCCGACAAATACCAAGTAGATTAGAATGACTGTACATTTAATCACTGGTATGCAGTAACAGCTGTCCAACACAAGGCCAAACTAACTGGAATACAGCATTCAGAATTGAAAGCCAGCGGCCAATCTACCTGATCCCACGTTGACATAATCATGTGTTTGTACATCATAATTAGGTCCAAGATTCAAAATCCGTGCATTACAATTGTAATATACAGAAAATATCACAACACAAAGATTTAACACTTTCTTCCATTGCATTAATCAGTCTAACGGATTTTCTCCTACTTTATACCCCATCAATGAAGGAGGCTCATCCAACCATGGTACGCTTTCGGCCCCTTTGTCGCACTGCAGTTCATTGCGAAACAACAAGATAACAAGAAATGAGACTAGAGATGGTATAGATATGGAGGTTGTAAAGGGCCTGTTAAAATTAAAAAAGGGCAAGAAGAAAGGAGGGTTCATAGAATGGATTGGAAGACTAGTACCTTGAGCAAGCTTGTTGAATGTGGAAGACCACTGCTTTGATGACTTCTTGTATGCAGAGAGCATACGATCCATCTATGCATCAAGGTAAGTAACCATAAGATTCTAACTCCCATTTGAATTTGTAAATGACTGAGAGAACATGTCATTTCGCTTAGTAGGGCAACTTAACAGAATTTTCACTTAAATGACCCCTTTTAGGATTTTCATTAAATTCCATAAAATACTTAGTGAATCTCATTTTTGAATCCACAATTCATTGGAATTTGAAAAAACGGTTGATTTCAAATTCAACATCGCACCAAGCCACATCAAAATTGGCAGACATTACAAATGAAGGGAAAATGCTACATAGTTTCCTAAAATTACTCCCTTGACATTGAATTCTATGGTAGAGTTTCAAGATCTCAACCTTATTTTAATTTGATGATTCCTAACATAATATCTTCATTATCAAACACAAATGTGAGATACTTTTGACTTTGCAGACATATCATCAAAACTAGAACTAAAATGTACGAAAATATATTGTCTTAATCTTACCACATTCCCACACGAAGAATGCATGGAAATCAAGGCTCGCTCCAGAACATACAAGTCAACAGCTTTGTCTTCTGGGAGCGTTGATGTAAAGCTCAGACCAAAATCAATCAGGACCTGACAACAGCACATTTCAGATTGTAAAGCTAATTAACCTTTCAGTCATTCATAAAACAAATTAACTAAAAAGAACAACTGACAAGCTGATTAGTTCCATTTCTGATTAACATGTTTGACGTGGTGAGGTCACCGTGAACAAGGCCACCATCGTGGAGTTTGCCAATTGCGTCGCCAATCTGAGTGGCTATATCATCTAAACGTTCTTGAACGACGCCGCTTACTCCGAATTCAAGGAAAACATCTTTAACGGAAGGACCTTCCACGTACTCAAATGTCAGAGTATGAAGCACCGGGTCCACGGCGTAAAGAACCGGCGTTGAAACACCCAGTCGGCGAGCCTTCGTCATGCACCTGGCCTCCTGCTCCAAAGATAATAAAGCACTAATTCATAGAATTTTATAGAACAGAAAAAACCAAAAGGAAAATTGGTTTGGGTCTTGGGGAAAAAGCAAAACGGACCGCGTTTAAGCGCTTGAGAGTGAGTTTAGAATCAAGAGAAGGATGCCTGTATTTCTTGGAGAAACGTTCTTTGATGATGGACCTTTTTCCCACGAATACTGACTCGAAAACTCTCTGAAAGGCGAAATAGTAATGAATTCAAAAAATCTGAAACAGAATCTGCGCAAAAGAGTGGCTTTTTAGACTTACAGCTTCAGCTCCTTGCTTAACCAGAATGAGGGAGCCATTGTCAGCACCTGTCGTTGTATCCATCTCCATCGGGGAAGCACTATGGTAGAGGGAATAAATTCAACAGAGTCTTCAATTTCCTGAAATGTTGGAGCTTCGCAGGCGGCCGTAGGGAGGGAGTGAAGGATTTGAGCTTTTCTAGGGTTCTAAGCGCCAATCAGGCGCGAATGATGGAAAATCTAAAAGTTACAACGACCCAATAAATATGGGCTGGGCTACATACCAAATACAAATTTGGGTTGGGCCGCTAATGTTACATCCACCCAAAGATCAGTAGTCCTTTGTTGATAAAGAAATCACTGAAATCCAAATTCCTTCAGTTTAGTTGCTGTCTATACAGGAGGGAAGTTGAAGAATAAGGGAGATTACCTTCTAATTCAACTTATACACTCTTATTTCAGTTTATGCTTTGGTTATTCAAATCATATTAAGATAAAAAGTAGGCATCAGCTTGCAAAATATAAGAAAACCAAAACGAAAATGCGAACACCGACTTCAGCTAGGGATAAAGACCAACAACATTGCTTTGCTTTGCTTGAACTAAAGGCCAATACTACACATAAGTATTTAACCTTCAACAAACATCAGTTAGACCAAAAATATAAAATAAAAACTAAGGAAACACGGCACTAGCAATTCACACCAGATGTTAGGCAAAGCTTGTGCAGGTATTGTCTTCAAACTAAAACTGGGAAAGAAGTTAGAAACTTAAAAGTTAAGGCACCTCAGCATCCAGTTGCATACATAATCAACCTGCTCTATTTATTTACTGCATGGGTGCATCAGGGGATCTAGGAGAAAGTGCCCTGTATATGGCTCGGATAGTATCAGGAGTAGTTCTACAACAACCTCCTACCAGGGAAGCCCCAACCTCACACCATTTGCTTACGTAGGAGACAAAATCTTCATCTGAGACTCCAGTATTTTCCTGTCACAGAAACAATGGTGCGGATAACTGACAAGTTCAGTATGGCATATTACAAAATAAGATCATGAAAGACTTTGGAGGCTACACTTGGATACTAAAACAAACGAATTGATGAAAATCAATATATTTCAGCTTCCCTTTTTTTTTTAAATTATTTTTCAATTTCCCTTTCCCTTCCTTCCCTTCCTTTATTTTCTCTTTCTTCTTTTTTTTAAGCCAAAATGGAAATAGAAGTTTGTTAAGTGTAGTTTAAAGTTGCAGAAAAATCAGGACCCAAAAATTGAGACATCACCTATCTTGCTATCATAACAAAACAACTTAAAGTAACTGGTATCACGTAGAGTCCACAACTAAGAAACAACAGTAGCAGAATCAAGTAACTGATCCACGTAATTTCATGTTGTTAAGCATAGCAATCAAGAGATGTGCACCTGAGCATTTAGCCTATTGGTTGGTGCATGATCCCCCTGCCTAGAGAGCAAATTTTGAATCTCCCCTCCCCCAATTATAAAAGAATAAATAAATAAATTGTTCCTTCAGCCCCTTTTTTTAAGGAAGGCATGTTTCATGCCTCATCCAGGGAAAAGAAAAAGATAAGAAAACAAACTTACCACCCATTCCTTCCGATCTGCATCATACCTCTCACCACTATTGGGATATATAATTATTGGTTTGGTAGTGACCTGCACAAATTATTAACCACATAAGTTCGCACAATCCATCAAAATTTCTAGACTACAACATTAGAGGAAGAAGTTCCTCAAACATACGAAAAGAACTATGAAAAAAGGAAAGGACCCAGTCTGAACAGCTTCAACATATGCTAACAATAGGATTCATGCGTTAGCATCCATCACATTACAAAATTCACAGTCTAATAATATGATCATGAAACATATCACAGCAACTGTCCTGTATTAAAAATAAAAAAGAACAGATACAAATATTGTATCCAAAAATGAATTTTGATAACACAGCAACAACAGAATTTTTCAGCATCAGACGAGTATGGTACCAAAAAAATGAATGACAACAAAAAGGTGAAAACAAAAAAGAGACTATATTATAATAATTCAGCTAGAATGATCATTAACAAAATAACAGAATAGAAAAATCAAACCTTCTTAATAGCTAAAATCAGCTCATGAATAAATCTAGGAGGTGTGCAGTTGATTCCAACAGCAACAGCTTGCTTGCATGATTCGGCAATTGATGCACATTCAAGCAAAGAATCACCACTAACTACATTGATGCCATCTTTTGAGTTGAAAGAGAACCATGCAGGAATCTTTATGCCTTCTTCCTGTAAGAGTTCGACATAAGCCTGCACAAAGACCACTCCCAAAATCTTAAGATTAAGAAGAAACAAATTAAGCAACAAAGTAGAAATTGAGCATTGACTCAATAAGCAGACACCATACTAACCAATTTAGGAATCCTTTAGTGCATGCAAGGCATAAAGCAGTTTAGCAACTTGGGTTTGTCCCATACACTCTTACTTTTATCTAAGAAAAGGTTTCATTTAGAATCAAAAAATGTCCAGCAATACCTGAGCTTCTATCTTGTTTGGAACTGTTTCAAATGCTATTAGGTCAGAACCCGCTTCTGCCAGGACCTGAACCCTTCTGCGATGAAATTCTTTCAAAGCTTCTATTGTCATTGCATCACCATAGTCCCCACTGGTATAGAGAATATATTGCAGAAAGAAGGAGACATGTTAATAAGTCCTCAAAATTTAAAGATTTTCACTTACACAAAAAGAATAACAGATCATGACAGAGAATCTAGAAGCAACAAAGTTTGATTTGGCTTAAAAATTCCTTAATAAAACTTGCATAGATGGTTGACATACCTGTACTCAGATCCATCAGCCAAATAAGCCCCATAGCTGCCTACAGATGCTGCAACTAAGATGGGACGAATTTTCAGTATCCTACCATCTCCTAACCCATCACGAGAATTTTTATTACATCTTTCATAATATATACCCCTTGCCTCGAGGGCAATTTCCACACTTTTTTTAAGCAAGGTTTCACTTTCTTCCCTAGAAAAGCCTTTTGCTTCAAACCCCTGTATGGTGGCCTGTTAAAGATAAGATAATGCACATCAAATGGAGAGAGAGAGAGAGAGAGAGGAGAGAGATGTGTGGGAGGGGCGTGGGGGGAGGATTATTCTTCATACCTGATAGGACGCTGCGATAATAATATCAGCACCAGCTTCAAGGTAGTCAAGGTGTACCTGCTCAAAATAGTACAATTTTAGGAGATATTGCAAACTGACAGAAACACTAGAAATTCAATGATTGGAGTTGTTCTTTATGAACATATAACTTGAAATAACAAAGTTTTTATCAAATGATATTACAGTGACGTCAATATATTCATAAAAATTATTTACCTTCTGATCTGGCCTGGTGAATCCCAGACAACTGAACAAGTGCAAAACTGAGAAGGAATTACATGGATTGCTTGTTCAATACCTCAACTTCTAACCATGTACAAATTCTCAGGTTATTCTAGTTTACTTGAACTTGCATACTTCAACTCTGTCTCTCTCAACCCTAATACATTTAATTAGGATTGTTTAATTAATCTCGAAATTGTGGTGTGAACACCCAGGTTTCAACTTATTTGAAAGATAACTAGATATCCTCTTGACTTCTTTTCCCTTTATATATATTCTGAGAGAAAGAGATAGAGCAAGTACAGAAATGGACAACAAACTAAAAAAGGTCAATTCTCTCACCATAATATTAAATGCCCAACATGAGGGTCCAAACCCAAGCAATTGCTCATACTGATATTCAAAGTTAATTGTATCAGTAAAATTCTAATCAAACTAATAGAAACAAAAAAACCGACTCGTGACTAATAAGTGGTTAGAGTCCGCCATACCTCGATCCAAATTCTGAAAATTAACCTACAGCAGAATCTCGCACCCAAACAAATTTTATAACCCTTCACTGCCACTGACTAGACTGACCACACACCACTTGCACTCTGTGGTCCGGTGTGCTATACATAGACTTCATCCATATTTAAATCAGAATACATTTCTTCTTCTTTTGGGGGCAATACATTATAATTAACCAGAGCATAATTCAGTTCCATGTGAATATCAAGCTAGCTGCAATAACAGTCGAAATTCCCACAAAGACCTCCTCCAACCACTCCTTTTTCACTGCTATGTCATTCCTCTACCTTCCATCAAAACTTACTCATATTCACGTAACAATGACTTCTGTATTATAACCACATTCAATTTTATTTTTTTAAAAAAAAAGCGCAAAATAAATTAAAATAAAATCGACGTTAAAAAACCAATCTTGAAAGAGGGAGACAGAATTTACGGAGCGAATGAGGTGAGGAGAAGTAAGGAGGCATTTGGCACTCCAGAGGGGATCGTTGAGGTCAGCCCCTGGCGTTCAAGCTCCGTAGCCAAGCCCCGTCGATAACGGCGGCGCTCCCGCCTGGCGAAGGAAATCCCTCATCAATGACGGCGTGTTGGAATGTTAAGAGCTTCCATCTGATTACGGGAGGGGGGGAGGGGAAGAGGGGTTTTGTTCACCGTTTAGTATGGGCTCCCTTTTCTCTTTTACTGTGTCTTGCTTTTTTGTTGGGAGTGAAACCATCATAAGTGGAGGAGTTCGATTGTTTAGTCGCCACAGCGGTCTCCAATCTATAGAGCAAAAACAGTTTTACCCTTTGCCCTGGGTAGTTGTCAATATTGCAATAACACCATTGCCATTTGTGGAACAATTTGTTAATGCTGCTCGGTATGGTTTTCTGTTTAAATATTTTCGTAAAATTTTTACGAGTATAAAATATTTTATAAATTAATGAAAAAAATTGTATTAATTAATATAAAATATCTTAGATTGGAAAAGTTTTCAAATTAGGGTTTAGGGTTTAGGAAAATATCTTTCAAAAACTCTTTTATATGGAAATTTTGCTTGAATTATAGTGACTAGTTTATGGAATTGTACAACTTTATTGAGGAAAAAAAAAAGGAGGACAGCTGGAGGCACTCCTTAATTCCTTAATGATTTCTAAAACTGGGAGTAGAGAATTCTCAGTGAAACAGCAGCATTCATTGGTTAATAATGTTAGGTACCTAAATTAAAGTCTTGCCAATAGACCCCTATCTTTGAATATTTCAATTGCATGTGTCTTTTATCATTATTCATGGACAGACAGCCTTAATTGGATGTGAACAAATTGTTGTAATATGAGAAATGAGTCATCACATCTTATCCAACTTTTAAGTTATCATCATTGATCATTACATGCACCTTCCAACGTTTGGTAAGAAATCAGATTCGCTCTCATCAGCTTGGAAGTCATTAGCACAATCAACGAATAAACCAATTATAATTAGCCACTAAGAATTGGCTAGAATGATCATTGGTTCAATTTGAGTGTGTTGAAGTTTTAGCATCGAATCTCCCAAGTCCCAACCGTAACAAAAATAGTATATAAAGTTAAACAGGTGGTGAGAACTTGGCTTTGGAATTGAAATCCATCTCGTGATCTCGTCCATAACCATCCAAGTGCAAGCACAAACAACACAGCATTTTGGTCCTCAGCATTCATCCACAAAGCCAGGAGATATAGTGCTCTTCTGGTTGCTACCCAACTACACCACCAACCCATGCTTGCACGTTAAAGATCCCGAAAATCTTCTAGGAAAAGCGAGAAAGCTTGCTCGGCAGACTCAAGGTTGTGGTGGAACATCCATCTGTATCTGCATATCACAAGTTCTGATTCTGGACATTGCCAATATTCCATTTAAATGCATCTTATCTGCACACGTACTTTTATACTGACCCAAAGGTTATTCCTGGAGCTTTTGTCCTCCACTGACATAGGACTAAGCTATCGGAAGAAATTAGGTAACTATTACAACAGCTTTGTGACTTTTATTGAAGCCCCATTATTTAGCCATTCATGCCACTAAAAGAATTATATATGGAAATATTGACCTTTACATACTATGTAATGAACAACACATTGAATTGAAGAATTGACCCAAGGGTTCTACACGGACTACAATAAGATTATGTTCATGTGCAGTAGAAATCAATGACCTGGTTATTCAAAGACCAGCTAGAGCCAAACAATGAACTGCTTCACCTTCTCTCTCCAATTCACATATGTAGCACAAAATAAAATAATTAGGTAGCAAAATCATGGGCCACGAGCAGTGAAACAGAAACAGCCAGGAGCTTGGTCATCAGGTAGCATGCCACCTCCTTTGCTTGTATCTACTGCTTCTAGCAATCTCACTACCTCCTCCATGTCAGGACGTCTTTCAGGGTGTGCATCCCAACATTTTCGCATGATGCTTGCCAATGAACTAGGGCAACATCTAGGAATTTCTGGTCGTAAATTCTGCAAACAGCAATTTCTAATGTCATTAACAAAACATCAGACATTACAACCAAAAGAATCAGTGGCAGGAAGGTAAAGATTCAAGTGCACAAATCCACTGCTTTGGCTAACAGATACACATTGAAGCCCCACTTTGTATCCCAAGGGCAAGATACGAACATGGTGTTTCAATTTATCCATGATGCAGGTGCAGCTAGGATAATTATGAAGTAAAAGGTATAAATAATCATGATAAAATTGGACCATTTGCAAAGATAAGCAAGAAATTCTGGTAACTCCCAAAGCAGCGGTTGGTACAAATATATGCAAAAACTAGAACAGGACAATTTAAACCAACCAGTTGATCACTGACGTATGCAGGAGTTAAAATATCTGGAATTTTTGGAATTATAAAAAATACTTATTACTAATGCAGGGGCCATGCCAAAATTGATGCTTCCAGCTAGATTAGTCAATAATGCAAGATATGCATTTTTCATTCATACCTGTCGTACCACTGCTGATGAAACTTCAGCGAAACTAAGATCAGCATAAGGCATGTCACAGCAGTATATTTCCCATAAGCATATACCAAGGCTGTAGACATCGCATTTCCTATTGTAAGGTTTCCCATCAAGGACCTACACAAGTCATTGCATTAGATTCTAATTTGTTTAGTGAAAAGGGAACTGATGGCCAGAAAGGAAAAAAAAGAAAAAATAAAAAAAAGGAAGCTTCAAATCCAATTGTCGTTGCAGTTGGGCTGAAAAGTTTGCATCATTATAATATATATTGAAGTAACAAATGATACAATCAATGGAGCTCTAAGGAGTGGATACCTCTGGAGCCATGTAACCAAGAGTGCCTGTTTCCCCAGTCATGTCTCTTGGGTTCTGAGCTTCAACTCGAGCAACACCAAAATCAGCAATCTTCAAAGTTCTACGAGTATCTAGCAACATATTTTCTGTCTTGACATCACGGTGTACTATCTTTTTGGAGTGTAGATAGCTCAAACTGCAAAAGTTGAACAAAAGACATCCTAATATACCTTAAAAATTGGAAATCCTAATATACCTGAAAAACTACTCACCCTCTAGAGAGGTCCAAAGCAATTTGAATCACAACCTTAAAGGCCAGTTTCTTCCTCCTGTTTCTGATCAAAAAATTCTTTAGCGTCCCACCTGGAAGGTACTCAACAACAACACAACATGCTCTGGAAGGAAGAGAATTGTTATTCTCAGTTGTTGCACCTTTGGTGGGGATCTTAAGGTTGGAAGTTCCCATTGAAGCTCCAATAAACTGCAAGAGGCCATTTATTCATGATTTGAACATTGTAATTCAAAATATTTAAAGTAATATGTCATGTTATTGCAAGCACAACAACAGTCATAACACATAGAGAAATAACCCCATATAGCTAAACATGGGGGACTCTGTTGGTACTATACAACATAGAAGAAAACATATGCCTAACCTAACCAAAATATAAATTCATTTTACCTTTGTAACATTTGGATGGTCAAGCTTATGCCAAACAGCAACCTCTTGCCGGAATGATGCCCGAAGAGCAGCAGCTTCAGCAGCTGTGGCAATCCCATCCTCCCCCCAATCCAATACCTTCACTAAAGATTTAAGAAGTCTTTGCGGTTAGGATATCAGCAAGATGGAGCATGATTAATTACTATGGCAGCAAAGTAAGAGAGGTTTTCCTGGGCAATCAAAATATGAATTGAAAATAGGCAGCAAGTTATATAGAGACAATTATTTCACACTACTGCCCCTAGACACATTTAGAATCAAGCATCACAAAGTAAACCTAACTTAGTTATGGCACAAATATGGTTACTCCCCATCAGACTATATATTAAGGACACCTTTGGAAGTAAATATTTGGCATTCAAAGCAACTCAATTTCAGATGGCCAGTTAATTCAAAAATGAAGTAATGCCATCTAAAGAACTCTGTGAAAAGAAAGCAATTTGAAGCCCATGGCAACTGTGAATAAGCTAGATATACCAAGCAAATCTAAAGGGACATGAAGCAGTTGTTCATGACTGAAAGTTTCCTTGCAGTAGCAATAGTCATTAGAATCAATATTAGAATTTATAATTTCAAAGTGAAAAGAAAGAGGTTCCACAGCCTTATGTCCTACACATAGATAAATGAGTGAGTTAACATGCAGCTTCATTCAGACAGTTGTAGTAAGCCAAGATCATCAGTATGCTGCATCTAGGTAAATCAAAATTTACTAGTGTGTCAAAGCTTTTGCTTTTCTTTGCTAATAGTGAAGTTGCCAAAACATATGCCTTTCATTACACCCTCGTTTAAAGAACAAAATGCTTGAGGATGTCTGTATGAAAGAGTATACTACCTCAAAGTAATATAAAACTAACAGTCTAGTTAATAGAAATTATCCTAGTCATGATACAGCCTGTGACTCACCTAAAGTTTCAAGCATGAACCTCTTATTAAACAACGGATTATGTTTTACACATGTGATCCGAGGCTTAATATCAGAACCTAAAGATATGAGTTGTTATTATATTATCACCTGCTACTCCAAAAAAATCAGGTTCCAGGGGCACATTTAATCAACTCAGTAATTAGAATTGAACCAATCAAGCGAATCAAAATAAATAAATAAATAAATACTCTTCAGCATATACAGTTGAATACAGAAAAAATTCTCATCTTGGGCAAAAGTAGCAGTTGCTTGTCAACAAGATAAAAAAAAGAAGGATTCAAAACTATGGCAACATATATAAATGTAATACCTGCAACATCTTGGCTATCATAAACCCCACGGTAAACGGTGCCATAAGTCCCATGAGCTATAACATGTCTTATATCAAGTTTAGCCAAATCAATTTCCCACTCTTCCTTCTTTGTCTTAGTTGAAATATCTCTTTCGTCCCTAGACCAAGCCCTGCTCAAGTGCTTATCAAGATGCAAATCCCAGCTCTTGAAATCTATCTTATCTGCTCTTAGAAACATGTCTTTGTTGCTAAGATTTCCAATAGACCCCAAGGCCTTCTCCTCTGTTCCGGATTTCTCTGTTTTTCCAACAACTTCAGCTCCCTCACCATTGCTTGTAGCCATTTTTTTATGAGAAACAAATAAAAACCCAGAAAAATAAAAACAATGGAATTATGAAACCAAAGAGAATGGATCAACAAAACATTGGGTTTCGAGGCAGAAAGAGCATAGAAGCTGACGGTACAGAAAAGAGAAAAGAAGGGGAGGTGATTTATAAAGTATTATAACGTTAGAATAAGAAATAGATGACTATTGGCAGAGTAAAAAGCAGGGTTTTGTGGAGGAGAAATGAGGAGGAAAGCAGAAAGAATATAATTATTTCTTAAAGTTATAAAAGAAATGGCAAAAAGAATTGGAAGGAAGGAAGGAAGGAGTGGGGGGTGATAGGTTGTGGCCTATATTGGATTTTAAGAGGGCACGACTGTTTCAAATCAAGAAATCAAGAGGAGCAAGGGTACGCTGTTATTTACCTGTCCCTTTTAACGGATTTACCGGTATTTTAAGATCTTCTGTAGATGGGATCTCGGTTCCCCCTCAATTTACCATATTGCCACCCCTCTCTCTCTCTCTCTCTCTCTTTATAATAGTACTACATTAGCAAATGATATCTAAACCAAAAGCACAAAACTTGTGCCAGTAAGGAAGGCGCAGGGGTGTTTTGGGAAGGGTGGTGCAGGCAAAGAGTGATGTGGTAAAAGCCGCTGCAGGTATAGCAGTAAATCCAAAATATAATACTCTTAAACATAAGCATTGCTCCCATCTTTAGAAAAGACAATAACATATTGACGGATTTACGTCTTTTGGATATCAGAAAAAGGCAAAAAGAAAGCCAAAAAAAAAAAAACCTCCATTGAAACCATATACATAAATAGGACACACACAGGAAAAATATAATAAAGAGAGGATACTTGTACTCCTCCTAGTAGCCTTAATTGATTCTTCTGTGTCATCCATGACGTGTCCCACGGGGCTTTTTAGCACATTTGGTGAATAACACTAGCATATTCCCGCATCAAGAAAGCTACGAATTTTGTCTTTTCAAATACGACCTCACACACTTGGATTTCCCATTAGACATTTAGAACAAACATTACAACCTTTACAAACTCTCTGGACGACTTCAAACAAGAATATTTGTACAAGCATTTATTATATGGTCTAAAGAAGCAAAATTCATTCATAATAAGTGAAAAAAGTCTAGCACCTTTGACTTTTCGTTTCTTTGACCATGTTAATGTAAACGCCGTGCCGTAGTCCTTTGGAGCGTCCTTCAAAAGAAAATGATGACACGTGCCCCACGGATCCTCAAACAAATCAATTTAGGCCATGAACATCACTGTGGCGTTTTCTCACTAAGCTTTAGGGTTCTACGTGAGACATTGCCCACCGCCACAAGCCAGGGCGCTTCTTCAATAATAAAATTCTACTGCAATGATGACGTTCATTAAACTATACAACACTCTCACGCTATGATTTTCTTTGCCAACATAATGACGTCTCCCGACTTTCTTCAGAGTTCAGACGCCACAAAGCTTTGAATATTCTCAACTATGACTCTAATTTCTACCATTTCTTGCAAGTTGGCAATCATTTTTCTTTCCCATTTTTTTTAATATATTGATATTTGTGGACGTGAGTTATTTGAAGCGCAGCACCGATGCGACTTGACTAGCCAGGTCTCATGGGCAAGTTAACATCAAATCATCAATTAATTCGTGATTTTGGATTGGAATTGGGAAGTAAATTTTAAACTTCGTTTTATACTTCATAATAATCTATGTCAACATGATAAAGAAAAGGAAGATAGGATAAACACAAGATGCAAATAGGATGATTTGGTGTCACAGTGGGAATCAGATTAGCACGCGTCCACCAAAACACTATTTATGTAGCAGGAATTATGCAATCCCACATTATTACAATATAGAAATACCGTCAGATTGGCTCAAATTAGATACTACCATAACATAAAATTATCAATCAAACATCAAAGATGTAGGAACAGGGCTAGCTTATGGGTGGTCTAAGGGGAAAAAAAAAATGAACACATGACCCGATGCATAAGCATAAAATCCCAAATATGTTATAAGAAGAGAAAATGCTTTCTTTTCTGATCATAAGCATTTCTCTTTATGTGAAGCATTAATCCAAAGCATATACCAAGATTAAATTAACAGGAACACCTACAATGGAGTACTGATTTCTCTCATCATACACTATAGTACAGTTTTACTTTTACCCACTTGGTTCTAGTCAAAATAGATGCTTGAGCACTTTGCTTGTGTGTGCTCGTGTTTGTGCACGAGTGTGTATGTAAGTAAGAGTGAGAGAGAGATCATTGTCAAGCATGAGACATGGGGCAAATTGCAGAGGCTATATCTGTGAATAGAAACATATTATTTCAAGATCAAATGTTGTTCACATCTTGGAAGAGGCTTCTTCTTTATATTGTAGATATGGGATGTTTCACTCCCATTCTCTCTCTATTTATGTTTGTCAGACACAGAAACTTACTATGACTTATTTTCCCTACCACGGGACCGTATTTGCAGCTGAGAAGACTTATCTGTCTAACCATGGACTAAATTTGCTTGGGCAAGATATTGTCATGAAAACCAACTTCCAGATGAATTCAACTCATTCCTGGCCAAGGACACAAGTTTCATTTAATTCAGGTTCGATTAAACAAGCATATACTTAAATTTTCTCAACTCAATTTTCACCACTGTTACAGCACCCAAGTCAAATTATCAATCAGTTGACGATATAGCAGTTTGATAAATTCTAAAAAATTGACACTAAATATTTCCCAGAACTTGTGCAACCAAGTAATGAATCTTCAGATCGTACAGAATCTAACAGAAAGCAAATTTAACAAAGTGATGCCCTTAAAATTAGGTTTTAAGATAGGGACAAATAATTTAACAAAAAACCACAGGCTAGTTGGTTTTGACACATATACTCACCATTTGAAATACATTAAAACAGTAGAATTATGAGTACAAATGTTCAATATAATTTTTATTAAAGAAACATGTTAACGGATTGGTAGAGTAGATTACTTAAAATTAAAACAAGTTCAAGGATGACTTAAGATTATTAAAGAGCAAACCAAACACAAGACTTCTATCAGACACCAAGTAAGATGGCTAAGTACATGAAAATCAAAAGAAAATGATGTATAATATATACTAATCAAACCCAAACCCTTTTACCTTAGCATGCATATTCAAACTCAAGAGGCATGAATTTTACTTAAATTTACACTCATTTGATAAAGGTAACAAAACAGACAGGTCACAACATTGTATGAGGTATTATATTGGAGCTAATTCTATCCATGTCAAAAGCTGAATTCTAAATGACTAACCTTGACTCTGAAGAGAACACTACCATCTGAAACCTGTTGACCAGCTGTGACTTTGAGTCCTTGAACATAACCACCAGATATTGCCCTTACCACATGCTATCAAATGAAGCAACATTAAGTATAAGTGGAAAACAAAAACAACATGATGTTGGAGCTATTGTTGGTACAAACCTCCATCTTCATTGCTTCTAGGACCAATACAGGTTGTCCTTCTTCCACCTTTGCTCCATCCTCCACCAGAACCTTGACAACTAAACCAGCCATGGGTGCCACCACAGTTCCAGGAGGGTGGCTTGTGGTCTCGAAACTGGTCTTATGCTGTGTTTCATCTTCATCAGACAACTCAAGGCACAGTTTCTGTCTAAAATGATGGTGGTGTGGTCCATGCCATATATGTATGTGTTTCATCTGATCCTGTAACCACACATTATAAGATTCACATCATTTTATCAACAGAGAAAGAGCAAAATAATAATTTCTGCACTCACTTTAGTCATGCTAGATCTTACCTAAGCATGTCTGGCATACCTAATAAGCTATGTTGTTTGGACTAGGGTATATAGGTTAGACATGGTCTGTTCAAAAATTGTACATCTACCTTTACCAAATTTTTCCATTTATTTGGATGGCTAATTGACCATACCCTTGTACCCTGTAAACTTTGAGGCGGTGGATGAGTGTCCAACATTGATTTTTTTTTTTAAATTTTTTGAAATTAAGTATCCAACATTGATACTTTAAGATAAAAGAAAAGGCAGAGCAACATAGCCAATAACTACTGATAAAAACATCATTGTAAAATAGAAAGATGATTGCCAGATAAAATATTACAAGGTATTTTACAAAATTAATTGAATCCTTAAACAATAGCCACAGGTAGGTTTGAAAACCAACGATTCCCGCTCGTAAAGACCAAGTGCCTAAAGTATACAAATCAGATAACTGCTTAAAGATGGTTGTAGAGAATGGTGTTCACCTTGATATAAACAGCCATACTAACATGCATCGCTACCCCATCAGCCTCAACTCTAAAACTATTGTTGCCCAGATGTAATGCTCTGACTTCCGAACTATGGGCACTGTTTTCTCCGATCTGTGTATGCTGGTATGGGATCGTTAATCATATCAAAAGGAAGTGGAACACTGGGCAGGCAGTGTGACACAATTAAAATAAAAGAGCAAAAAGAAGAGAGAGAGAGTAACTGCACTCTGAAAAAAGACAACTTCAAAAACTGGCTACTGAAATCAACCTTGAACATGCATGCAGCATGTACTATAGGTTGGTAAAAACCTGAATAAGATAGTTCCCATCTTGCTGATAAGTTATGGCAAGCATTAACGGCTTTGAGCTACTGCTATCATATACATTTTCCCACTCAAGTTCCATGGTATTCTGAGCATGATGATTGACTCTGAACGGAGAATGAGCATACCATATAGAAAGTAAGCTTGGACCCCCTGAACTCAATTCAAAATGTAAATATTAAGAGGATGCTAAGAAACAAGTACTATTCATTCCAAGACAAGATTTCATCACTTACCGGGGTAGCTTTCTTTTAAAGTAGAATGTTCCTTTTCACAAAGGCATGCAGCTACCAGATTTGCACTGAGTCTAGCTGCCTCATATGCTTCCTCAGAAATTTCTTTATTATTAGGATCAACAAATAGGTCATTTTTATGGTGCTCGATAAAATGTGTTTCTACATCGCCCTCTTCAAATGCCCTATGGTTCGCAAGTTTTTGCAAGAAATTGATATTAGTAGGCACCCCTGCAACCTGCAAAAGAACAAATGCTGAGAGTGATTGAAGTGAGGTTAACAACCATAATAAAGACAATAATGGCTTGAAAATATGTTGACTAGTCAAATTAATAATATATTTACCAACATGTAGAAGTTTTCATATAAGAGATGACAAATATATACAAAGAAACTGGCATGTTATAGAATAGGAATGTGTAATATTCTTTTATTAATAAACGTAATTATAGGGATTGAAAATCACCATAATTATAGAGATTGGGATTCACCATAATTATAGAGATTGAGAATCAACATAATTGTAGGGATATTATTTTCTTTATTTCTTTTATTCTTTTCCTATTTTAGAGATGTGTAAGCTGTATGTATAGGTGATATATTATGAATGAAAAGTGTGAAGTTTCCTCTTCCCAAATAACATGGTATCAAAGCAGTTTTGGCAGATCTGTTTCCTTTGAAACAGAGTTCTTAGTTTTTTTTTTACACCCAAACCTAGGTCACCTATCTAGGGTAACAATCTTATCCCACAGCCGGCACTACGAGAAGACTCACTTGCTGATTGGCTTCTTCCGAGAACCTTGCCACTAGAGTCCCCACGAGTGGCTGTCACACGCCGCCTTTGGTTTCTGGTTGTAGCCGTCTGTTAAAAATTCATTCCGATTTTCTCTTCTAGTCTTTACGCCAAAAGGTTTCAACAAGATAATTTGATATTCTTGTTGGGTTTTTGTTACCGGGTTTTCAAGATGGTAGAGTCTGTACTAGAGAAAAAATCAATGGTAGTGGCTGATGTGATTCCTGTGATGACAAAGATTACATAACATAAACTTAATGGTTCTAATTATTTGGATTGGAGCAAGATAGTTCGGGTCTATTTAAGAAGCATTGATAAGGATGATCATATTACTAATGATCCTCCTACTAATAATACAAGGCAAACCTGGATGAGAGAAGATACACAGCTGTTCCTGCAGATTTGAAATTCCATTAATGGTGAGATTATTAGCCTCATTAATCATTGTGAGTTTGTTAAAGAGTTGATGGATTATTTAGATTTTTTATATTCTGATAAAGGGAATATTTCTCATATTTATGAGGTATGTAAAGCATTTTATCGTGCAGAGAAACAAGATAGGT